TACAATCCCCTACGAATTTCAGTTTACATAAATTATCTTATAATTTCAGGTTGGCGCAACTACTATGAGTAGTGCTGAAGCGCTGAAAGCTGGCCTACGTGGAAAGGCTTTAAGAATAACACACTATTATCATGATTATCTATGGTAAGTGTAATAGTTGCTTAATTCTTCAATCCAAGCTTATTGATCTATAATTGCTGGACACCTTGATTTTCAGGGAATCAGTTGAAGGTCGTTTTGTGCCAAATGCTGGTTTTTTTGAAGATGCAGTCTTCCCTGATCCTTCTTTCATGGCTTCTCATCTATGTGAAGGCGATGGTTCTGTTGATAAAAAGAGTGACAATGAAGAAGCAATGGATCCAGATGTTGTGAATAATGTTTGCTCAGAACATGATCCTGCTTCATCCTCTCACTTGGATAATAATAATGATGATATTTCTGAACAAGTTGCTGAAGAGTTAGGTGGCTTGACGACAGTGGAGAATGATGCAGTGCAAAGTGAGAACCAGCAATCCCTGTCGACAGAAGATGTAGATGTGCTGTTGGACAGGTGTCTACTGCAAGCTTTGCATACGACTGTGAAGGATAAGGATCTTCCAATGCCAGGAAGTACTCTATGGTAAGACAAATATTGTTATGGTGACATCTATATTCAAATTACCAAAATTGAATGACCTGATGTGGAATATACAGGGTGGGGGGATCTTTAGTTTATCTTTTGGTGTCTTGTTAGTCTCATTCTCTTTGTTTGGAAGATTGTCTGGTTATTAATTATAGTCCTATAACTGGACTTGTGGCATATTGTGAACTAGTGATCTTTTCTTCTTTTCTCCCATTGACATTTTTTTCCCTGAAAGGACAGGTCTCATATTATACTATATCATTTTATAACAGATTCTCTTTAATTATGACCCAGGGCAAATCATGTTTTACCATGTAGACCATCTGGCATTACTCTTGATATCAAAAAGTCGTCTTTCAAGAAGTTGTCAAAATGGTTGCAATCTAAAGCGTCTGCTGGAGTGGTACTCTCTCTCTCTCTCTCTCTCTCTCTCTCTCTCTCTCTCTCTCTCTCTCTCTCTCTCTCTCTCTCTCTCTGTCTGGCTAACTCAAGTACAAGGGATTTGAATATCGCCTTCTGCTATGGCTCTGTTTTGAGTTCCCGTTCTCTTGAAATATACAACTGTGCTATGGCTTTGTTTTGAGTTTCCATTCTCTTAAAATATACAGCTGTTGGACATTTTTGAGATATCCTGGTAATTACAACTAAAAGAATGTTAGAAGAGGTGAAATAAAAGTGATTGTTTTAAATTTTTTCATGATCCTTTATATAAGGCTCCTAGACCCCATATTTAGTTGGCAAGGTGAAGCCATTGCACTGCCAAAGCACACTTAGGTCACCTTGTTAGCCAGACCTAGATTCGCTAATGACTTGGTCTTGAACTCTTTATCACAACTCCACTACTCATTAGGTGATCCGTCTTATCGCCATTTCCTCTTTACCAGGAGCAAGAGAATTCTGTTATAATATTTATATGATTCTATTGGATAGAGTGAAACTGTCAAGTATGTGAGAAAATATGCTCCCTTGTGAGTTGTATCTGTCTGCCATTGTAGATCCTTGCTATCACTAGTCACAGGAACCTTGTATGAGAAGGTTTTAAGATGTTCCATAAAGGATCTCATTTGAGTGACCATTACAAAAGTCATGTAACTAATAATCAGCTGCAAGTATTACCGAATTAGTAACAAAATTAAGGGGCATTTTTGGCAACTGTATTACGGAGTAGTTTTGAGTCACTGATAAAAGTTGATTTGATCTGTAGGTTGGTAGGGAACTAAATTCTGCTAGAGTCTTTTTAAGATGAACCTGGCAAATAGGCTGGTAACTAGTTAGGTCAGTTTTGTCTTGGTAATTTAGGTTCATGTCATGCCAATTTTTATTTATTTTTTTATTTTTTTTATTTTTTATTTATAATTTTTATAATTTTGTGTTTTTTCCCCTTCCTTTCGTGTTCCGGGTTGAAAGTCATGTTCTAGAATCAAGAATTAGATTTTCCACTTTTTGAGTCAGGTCACTTTTTCCAAGGTCTGTTTCAACTTTCAAGGCTTTTCACTTGTTAAATGTACTATGTAACTGCAAATAACATTTTAGGCATTGCTGTTAAGAACTTTCATTGATCTCTTTACTTTCTCTCTCCCCAATTAGTCAGCTGATAAATGATCAGAGACCGGATCAAATTTTCCTAGACACCAAATGATCTTTCGACAAGTTTTCAGCTCTTTAAAGTGGTGAGTAAGAATATTGTTTGTGCAATTTCTTTCCCTGCTCACACATCCAAACAGAAGCTTTATGCCTTTACCTTGCCAAACTGTTCAGGGAAATTTAGGAAAGAACCAAAATTAGTCATACCAAGCTCCTATCATCTGATTTTCTCCCCGCTTGGTTGATTTTTATGTTGTTGGATGACTCTTGTTGTATCCATTTTCTTGAATCTACTTTGGCATGTAGCTCCTCATGATATACTTGTGTATGCTTTATTTATTTATTTAATTTATTTTTATTACAGCCTTGTGAGATGATTGTTTATTTTCATATGGTGTACAGATTACAGTAAAAGAGGATAAACATAAAAAGGAAGTGGTTCTTTTTTCTGTTAATCGGAACCATGCAGATTACAAATCCTTCAAACCTGAAAAAAGGCAACCTGATAAGGTTGAGGAAAGCAGTGAACAGGCTGCTGCTGACTCTCAATCACAGAAATTATTGGAAATAGAGGAGGTCTATAAGCCAAGCATTCATGTCAATGCTATATTTACCGCTGTTGGAGCTGATACTGGAGCAATTTTTACTGCATCGGAGGCTGCTAATGTTGCGTTTGCATATGTTGAGAAGGAGAATCTCGTAAAGCCTACAAACAAAGCAATGGTGATATTAGATGCTACACTGTGTGATGCTTTGTTCAAGGGAGCTATTAAAAAAGGAACAGCGTACCCAACTGAAATTCATAAGAAGGATTTAGGGACTACATTTTTGAGTCGAATGCAAGCCCATCACAAAGTGACTAGAGGAGGTGACTCTGTGATCAGGAAAGGTGCTGTTAAACCAATACACATCTTGACAGAGAGACGACAAGGGAACAAGAAAATGACTAAGCTATCTGGTTTTGAAATTTTTCTGATGGATGCTGAATCATTGGCATCAGAGCTGCAGAAAAAGTTTGCATGCAGTACCACAGTGGCTGAATTACCTGGTACCTTGTCTTTGCATATAATTGTGTTTTTCCGTCAATAAACTGCATTACTGGACACTTTCTTGATATTTTGTATGAGTTAAGATGTGTGGGTGGTGGTGTATTGCTCTTTTTTGGAGAAAATTGGGCTCTTTTCATATAGCTCTTAATACTCTTTGTGTCTGATTTATGAATATTCCAGGTAAGAAAGGACATGAAGTTCTGGTTCAGGGTGGTGTTATTGATCATCTTGCAAAACATTTAATGGATCAATATGGCGTCCCGAAGAGATACATTGAAGTTCTTGATAAAACCAGGAGGTGATTGAGGTCAGTTCCTAATTTTTGCAGAATTGCTTATAATGACAGATTCTCCTGTATCACTGTTTTGTAATCTGTGTATCTGGCATTGCATAGTTCATGATAGGGAGAGGAACTTGCCAAACAATGTTTTGACTTTAAAGACCTCTGTGGAATGTTCACCAAACTTTCCATATAAACCAGTCCGTTTTGAAAATTTGACTACTCAAAAAGTTCTATTTATCCCTTTATATTTGGCTGGATCTAATATGGCTGGATCTATATGTAAATCTGATTTTATTTTTCAGACAGACTTTAGAATTATTAATTTCAATTGCATTTGTAAAACCAACGTTCTACCTTTGCTTCAGAGAGTGTTCGAAATACACGGGTTGCAGTTTCTGTAACATCATGCATTCATGCATTTCCATTGCTGGAGTTTGGGGAGGTAGTTAGAGATGGTTATATACTAAGCGTACCACTGTTATATGTTTCTCTGGACCTTTCTGAGGAGTTTGTACATTAGTTTGATGATGTGTTGCATTTCAGGTTGGAGAGGCCATGGCCTGAAGAAGAAGCCTATTTTCTTCAATAATATGAGTATGAAGGAAGCAGTGTGTTTTCTTTTACGTGGGATAGCTGTGTATTTCAAAATGTATATCATCATTGGATAATAACTCAAAAAATTTTGTTAGGGATTTGACAAAGTTGAGGTTGTTGGCATCTTGTGTATATTGATGAGATATTTCACTGAAAGTTTCTTATCTTGTGATCTTGAAGAAAATTTTAGCAAAAAAATTGTAAGCCGGCACTTTTAAGAAACTCCACCTAGCTCTAAACTGAAGTAGTGAAGTAGTTGCAGTTCATCTGCCATGCCTATTAAGCCTGGAAGTACTATGCTCTTGTTTCGAGTTGAATGAACATTGTGTTTGCAATTTTGCCTATGTTAAAAAAGAAGAAAAAAACTTGCACCGTTTAAAATTTATTTCATCAATACTCAATTTTAGTAGTTGACGAATTTGTTTCCTCATATTGTTAGGGAAAAAAAATTACTTGTATTAGAGGTAAAAATGAGTGCAAGAATGAGTGCTGTAATGCAAGAATGAGTGCAAGAATTATAAGGGTAAAAATTCAGTAGGAATTGGGCAGTATAGATCAAATGGTTTTAAATGCAAATTTATTTAGCCAAGAAAATTCAACAATAATTTTTTCTCAAAGAAATGACATTCTCTTATAGTGTTAAACAAAAGCTCTCAATAGTCAATAATCAATATGCCGAATTCAGTGTCAAAAAACTGACCCACGAACTATGGAGTCTGCTCACTTTCCTGAAAGCTTTTCCAAGCAAAGTTAGCAAGTAAGCTTATTTGACGTTTATGTGGAAAACAAATCTAAATTTGCAAGTGAAATGCAGTTGAAAATTACAGCACAAGCAGGGAATGGAGGTTTAGGCAAAGTGAATGAGCCACTATGACAGGGATGGAACCGGGATCTCTCTGCATATTTACATTCTAAATTGCTAAGAAAACTTCCAGCTAATTGATGAGAGGCTAAGATGAAAGTGGTGCGCGATTTTGCTTCAGCAGAGATGGAAGAAGCCGGCATGTATGCAGGAGACCCGGGGGGGGGTAGGGTGGAGGACAAATTTTGTTTTAAAAACGTTTAATGGTTACATTTTATTCTATTTTAATATTTTATATTCGTTTTTTTTTTGGCAATTGAACATTTTATAGAACGGTAACATACATGTCAACCAAGCCCCTTACTAGATCCACCTATTCATACTTACAAGTTACAACTACATTGTTGCCACAACAAACCAAGGTACGTCCCAACAGCCCAAATTGGCACGCCTTCATAGTTAAGAATACAAAAGAGGTATGCTGCATTAGTTTTACTGATGGACAATAATCAAGTCCATTGCAAACGCACAGAAATAGTATGTCTCTGAATTCATCTTTTACATCAAAAATATTAACACAATATTTGTATCATGTAACAAGAGACTGAAGATCCCAAGACCTATCTCCTAAAAACAGCTCTGGGATTCTGAAATCAAGTTTTAAAAAAATTACAATGTTTACTACGACGACTAATAAGGGCATCATTGTCAAACTGGTTATCTGAAATCATACATCATGTAATCTGACTGTGTAGTATTTAAGTTCCAACATTTCATGATTTAAACAAAAGCATGAAAGTTTCCTGCAATGTTTAACTGGAAAGCTTACTAACGAGGCTGGATCCATAACTCGATAGTATCTGATGATGACTAGCAAAATTCATTCACAGTTGATGTCAATGAGACAATGACTCAATGGTACATTATTCCCCCACATCACAAAGGCCCACTTCCACCTTGTATTCCCCTCCGCATGCACACTTGATAACATGTGATTCCCTTAAAAATTACAAAACATAAGTAATTCAGTACGGAGTACTACATTAGTAGTACTACATAGTACCTTAACATTTAAGATCATGCCACCTTTTTCCGGTACATAAAAATCAAAAGCAAACTACATATATTTTAGCAAAAATGCAACTACAGAGAAGTTTAAGGCATTTTGACATGTACCCTTAGTTTCTCGAGTTGGATCTGTAAACTCTGCATGTACTCCATTTCCCCATTCTTCTCAGACAAGAGAGCCTTGTGTTCCTCTTCCAGCGTAATCACTTCTGTGGCACTTAACTCTGGCTGTAATTGAAATCGACATAAGGAACAAACTTAACACCAAACCCATGGGAGGAGAGGGTGGGAAGGGGAGAAAGTAGGTACATTACCTTGAGATTATTTATTTCACTCTTTAACTGCTCGATGGTTTGCTTCAACTGAGACATCAGAATAGATATAAAGCATCAGTGAGACCAACCAAGTCTGATGGCACTGTTTTGTCAGGAAACTAAATGACTGGTAAGTCAAGCACACATTTCAAATTCTATAACTTGAAACAAAAAATTGTTTTAAAGAAAATTCACAAATCTGTAATAGTGAAGCCAACCTCACTGTTGTCTGAAACCAGTTTGGTTTTTGCAGAGATAACCTCATCAAGCTGAGATTGTGCAGCGTGTAATTTTCCACGAAAAAGCATCTTGTCCTCATCTCCCTATGAAGCTTATAATCCAGTAAGATGCTAGGAATAAAATTATTTTCCTGAACAAGAACTTGCTGGAAAATGTTCATACCGAGCTGCATGGAACTGGACCCTTGCTAGATTTTTCTGCAAGGTTCATTCAACATAATATGAATAAGACTCACCATACACATCTTGAGTAAGCCATCAACAGAAATATGTACTAAATGTTTCCGGGTCTTCTCAACAACCAGCTGTAAAAACATCCTAAGGTGTTTGGGTAGAAAAACTGGCATTCAACTATTCTAATGTGTAATTTATCATGTAGAACTTTAACTGAAAAAGTGTGAAATGCTTTGTTTCTCTTTGTTTTATCAAACTCACATTTCCTTTCTGATATAAAGTAGTGTCTTCCCTGTTCAAATCATTGGCAAATAATAACTCCTCTTCAATGCATCAATGGAAACTGAATCTATGTGACAATACTGAGGTTACATGAAAAGACTCCAAGTGGCAAGATACAGTGTAGGTAATGGATAGTGACATGCTGTCACATGACAAGATATATGCATCACTGCTGCCAGAATTACCCCATTTATCCATTTCTTGTGTTTCAGACTTTCAGGGTGGTTATGAGGGGGTTGTTGAAATGTTACAGGATTGAGACAGGATCTGCATCAAATCTTAAAACCAAATCTAACCAGTTACTGTCTATACCTTGAGGCATATCAATTTGCATGCTACTGTCTTCATAGGGCTGCAAAAACAAAGTTTAGCGGTTTAAATTTATCCTCATAGGAGATGAGTCAATGATGTGATGTAATTGCAGTGATATATCCGGTAGAACTTGAAAAAAACAACCGAATTATGTTGAATCATTTTGGTTTCTAGAGAAGTAATAGACAGAAGCATAAAGAAATAGTGCAAATGAAAACAGTTTTGATCATGTGCACACACAAGCAGCATAATAAGCTGCCTATTAATAATACTCTAGAAAAAGAAACTTGGTTGTGCTCTTCAATAATAAATAGTCCTTGAAAGACTATTGTGAGTCATGCAGACAAGGAAGCAAGTTTTCTAATGAACACTGAAGGCTACAACAACCACCTAATCCACTAAAACACAATTCCAATTCTCACCTCATTACGTCGTTTATTATCCAGCCAGTCCTGTCAAAACACCACCCAAAGATTGGTAACAAATTTCTCCCAGCATAGTGAGAAATCACAAGAGAAGAAAGCTATATTTAACCTTCTGTTCTTGCAATTTAGAGTTCATATCCTCAGCAACCTTGGCATAATACGCCCTGGAAGCAACAGAATGACAAATCAGAAACTAATTACACAATCAATGCGCTTTGTTTACGAGCACAATCTACTGTATCACCTCTTTTCAAGAACTTTTGCTGTAAAGTTGCTTTTCTCTTGTCGAGTAAGTTCCAAAGTCTGTCAATAAAAAGCATAAGAACCAAAATGCTTAGTAGAATACTCCGTAATTATTTTACTGAGCACGGAGCACCATCGAGTCTGGATGGAATGATGCAAAATAGCAAGGATGAAGCTATATTGCAAACCTCAAACAAACAACAACAAATTCGGCTTATCTATACAAGTGTAACTTTTGCACATCGTCTTTAATGTTTGCATCAAAATTTACAACAAATAGATCTGAAAAATCTGAACGAAATGCTGCAAGATAGCAAGGACTAAAACATCATGCAATTTTTCAAACACGTAACTATAAAGCTTGGCCTATATATATGATCCTAACATTTATACATCGTCTTTGTTGTTAGCATTAAAATGTGCAACAATTAGATAAGAACACAGCTCAACTAACCAATCATAATTAGCATATAAACCTTACTAATCATATAAACAAGTGATCTATCCAATTTCCTAATTTACACATGTAGCTAACATTGCAGAGTTCTAATTCTTCTAAATGACAATAATTAATCAATTCCAGCACAAATAACTTGAATTCTAAACAAATTAAAAAAAGTGCATAAACCTGAGACAAGTTAATCAGCATAAATACCTTACTAATCTTGCTAATTTAGACATGTTGCTAACATTGTAGAATTCTAATTCTTCTAAATGTCAGTAATTGATCAATTCTAGCAAAGCAAACTGAAATTCTAAACAAATTATGAAAAATGCATAAACCTGAGATAAGTTGAAGGAGTCAGATTCCAAAGAGGTAATTCTTTTCTGCATCTCCAAAATTTTAGAGCATATTTCAGCTTTACTCTTAACCAATTGATCAGTCTCCTCCACAACTCGCTTCGTTTCCGATTTCGCTGAAACATTCTCAACATCATCATTCTCAATATAAAAGCAATTATTACAAATTACAACTTGGCATCAAATAATTTGAAATTCCTTCAGAAAGCGCGCGTAATTTCCAATTAAGTTCATGAAAACAAATCAATCTAATTCGAAGAAGAAGACGAAAGTCACGCAAAAATTGAAGAAACAGGAAGCAAAAAAAGCTGAGTACCTGATTTGAGATCTTTCTCGAGATTGTGAATAGTAGTAATTTGCATTTGTTCCTCAACAGAAATCTTCGCTGCTTGATCTTCAACATCTGTTCGCAACAACGAAAGTTAGGTTTTCTGTTCATCGTCGGAATCACAGAAAATGCTCGAGAGAAAGAGAGAAGAGGAGAGAGAAAACCGTTCATCTGAGTGCGAAGAGTTTTCATGTACTGCAAGTATTCCTCCATTGTTGTTGTGCTGGTTTTAGAGAGAGAAAGTGAAGAAGACGAGAGTGATAGAGAATTAGAGAGAGAATTGTTTGATTTTGAATGTGGTTTGATTTTGATTTTGATGTTGATGGAAATTGAAGAGTGTTTCAGGTTTTATATTCAAAATCTTGCACCTCAAAACTCAAATGCTCTTGCCTCTGCAGTCTGCACCTGCTGCAACTCTTGCTATTTGAATTTTGATTTTTTTTTTAAAAAAAAAAAATCTTTGGTAACGCGCGCTTAATATACCGACATTTTGCCAAGTCAAAAAGTCAAAAAATAATCACGACATGAGTCTCATGACACTCGAAAAGTAATGTGATTAAGATTTTAATTTGTATGAACACATTGATTTAGCATGACTTAAATTTATATTAGATCTAATTCAATTTAGTTATCAAATTGACACTTCTATGGCCAAGTGTCTATTACCCTGTCAAAATTGGTTTGTACAAAAATGATTGCCCAAGATATTGTTAAACCTACCTCCACTCTTCTATAGTATCCCAATGCATTCAAACGAAAAATAAATTTTCGTATCTCACTCCAGTTCAAAGTCCTTTAAAGAAAGTTTTGTTTATAAAGACAAAATTGCAAATTTATAATAAATAATTGATATTTTCCTTTGTTATCTAACATACGCTATGAAGATTATATGGACTACAATACATTAATGCGATCATGATACTTTTGCAGAGTTTTGCTAATCTTTTGAACAATTCTTTGAACATTTAGTTTTTTTTCCTTGTAATAATCTTATTGAATTAGTAGTCCAAGCCTCTTTGGTATATATATTAGATAAGGGTGCTATCGAGCGAGTCGATCACGAGCAGAAGATTGCTCGACTCGTGCCCGTTGATTTTCAAGTCGATCACAAGTTGCTCGTTTAAAGTTTTACATCTCTAAAATTTCAAATATTTGTTAATGATATTTTTTTTTTTCTCTTTATATAATTTTTTTTCTACTTAAGCTTATTATTTTAAATTTATTAAGTGTCAAGATAAATTTTTGTTTTTAAAAATGAAAAAATAGAAAAATACTGAATTTCTTGTACACTTATCGAGTTTCGATCTGATATGAGCGAGCACGAGCAAACTCGAGTAGAGTTTTGATTGAGCGTTGACCGAGTCGAGTTCGAGTTGCTCGCAAGTTGCCCTGCTCAATTAGCACTTCCAATTTTAGACTTGTTGGATTATGATTCCAACACCAATTTCAATTTAAAATATTCTCATTGATTATGATTCCAAGCAATGAGACTAATTCAAATCTATATAACTTTATTTTTAGGTGACACACTCCATAATTATTTTACGTATGATATTTTAAAATACTACGGATTAAAAAAAATTAAGTAGTCAATATTTAATTCATTTCTGTTCAATTTAGTTCCGACTTAAAACGGTGAACAACCCTATGAAGCTAATCCATAATTACTTAGAACGTCAGGTGAAAGTAAGCATAACATGAGTCACAATCAGCTTTAATTGAACCATCTTCCCACCATTAAACCATCTCCTCTAAAGCTAAAACATAATTACAGTGGACCTCACACAAAGCAATCACCGCTTTATAAGTCCGGCAAATCCGGAATCCTGACTACACGGCGGCGATGAGGCGGAGACAACAGCGGCTGTTACAAACCGGGTGGCGGAAAGAAGATTCAAACTTCAATTGGAGTCGTACATGGCGGAGACTCGCCGGAAACCACCGGAATCTTATAATGCTGCTTGTTGTTATTGCTCTTGCTCCTCCTATCTTCTTCCACTTTCGTCTTAGACGCTTTTATCAGGTACCCATTTTCACCTTCACTTGCTGCTCTTTTGAATTAGCTTTTTGATGCTGAATGAATCTTGTTAAATGAATCAAACCCAATTTATAAATGATCAATTGTTTTTATTTTGAATCATCTTCAATGTTATCCTATTGAAAGTTGCTTTATTGACTGTGATTTATGTATGGTTATACTTGGTTCAAAGCTAGGTTGGAAAAAGTTTTAAATTTTGCTGCTCAATTGAGGTGTCTATTACACACTCGGGTGTACCATGTGAACGGAAATCCCATACACTTTTGTTATGTTCATTGAAAAAAAATCCCTGGTGTACGATGCACTCGGGTGTATACTGTATAATGGAAATTGTTGTAAACATTTGCTTGGTCTTAAGTTTCCTCTGAGCATTTCACTTTCCTAGAGTGATAGAGTTCATATGCAATTAACATTAAGCAATTTCCAGTGGTACATTAAAAGGGTAGGAGATTAAGAACTCCTCTTGCTCATATAAACCCATTGTCATGTTTTAGATTTTCCCATTTCATGCTTTTCACTTACTTTACCTCAGTTTTAATGCATACTAATTTCAAGTTTCATAACGGTTTACCATCTTATACGAAATATTATCTTTATTTAGTGTGGAAGTTTGATGCCTGGCATTTCATATTAGGTTTTCATTTCATATTAGGTGAGCCTTGGTGCCTTGTTAGTTGTTACTCTCAATGTTGGTGTATGACTAGATCCTTTATATTGAGTTTTTGTAGATACAAATGAAGAATTGTGGTTGGATGAAACACCCACCTCTTGTTTGTGCTCATGGTGGTGACTCGACCAATGCTTTCCCTAATACGGTATGATTGCTTATTAATTGCCTTTTACAAATCACTATGGTGGACTTTTGGACTTGTGAGGCTCTTGTTGCCTAAAATATCCCCTCACATCCCCCCCCCAAAAAAAAAAAACACTCTCTCCGTAACAAAAGACCTCTAGGAATCCTCATGTAAAAGATCTTTAAGATTAAATGCAATTCTATTCGATGGTGATTACAGATGGCTGCCTACCGCAGTGCGCTTCGTTCTCGAGTAGACTGCATTGAAATTGATGTTTCTTGTTCAGCTGATGGAGTTCTTTTTGCACTGCATGACAGGTATATTAAGCTATCAACTTATTTGTTTAACTCTCCATGATGTTTCTTTGCTTTCATTTTTGGCATTACTATTGTTTGATGGAGTGCCTTTAAACTATCATCAGAATTCCAACACATTTTTCCAGTTAGGCATGCAACTGAGAGATGTGGAAGGTATCAGGGTAAGAGAGAAGAAATTTGGAGTTATGGAACGCTACAAAACACAGTGCAATAACACTTCATTGATAGCAATTGCCTTAATCTATAAAAAAGGGCAGTGGGAGTAATCTAGATTTTCTTTATGTGCAACTATGACTTTATCAAATTTATATGGTTGTGTGACTAGGTTCAGCATTCTCCACTTGTAGAGTTTCATTGTTGGAATTGGGAAGGATATAAGGGATAAGAAATTAAGAATTATCCAACAATTAAGGTCAGCCCATCTAGGGATTTTTGATGTGAGTGCCCGGCTCATCTCAGAGAATTTTTTTGCTGATGTCAGCATTTTTGAGTAAAAGATGTCACTTCTCACAAACATGTCACTTCTCACTTGTAGCACACAAATTTGTTGAGTTCTTCAAGAAGGGGCATTGTAGAAGTGGAGGGAGACCAAGTAAAGGGGAGTAAGATTAGCATTCATTTTGTAAGAAATTCTCTAGAATGACACTATTTTGGAAATTGTCAATAATTCAAGTGATAAAGTTATGGTTTTGAAGTTTTTGGAGATTGATTCAAATTTGACATAGACAGGGAGTTGCAGCGGATATCTGGAAATCATACTTCTAGAGTGGGCTACTTGAGTATGAAAGAAGTGAGTATCTTTGTTTACTTGTTAGTTCTAATTGTCACCGTAAGAATTCTAAGCCACTTGGTTTGCTTTCCTACACTCATACATGCGCACACACAAATTCCTTGTGAGTTGCAAGTCATCATCCTGATTGGAGAACTATATTTGTTGCTTATATAATTATATGGTATACTACTAATATTACTTCCTGGACGTCAGTCTTCAATTTAAGGAAGACAAGGGATACTCTTTTGTTGCGTACCTTCTATCCCAGTAAACCAAATTGCTGTACAAATCCTGGTTGTTTCCCCGTTTTCTGTATGGATTAAACTCACATGGAAGCATGATTATTTTTCTTGTTTATTACTCTGATCTGGGTACTTGTTTCAACATGGGTGTATATCCAAGAATTAGACTCAACTATTTTATGGAAGCTTTCATTATTTCTGATCCAAATTCCTATATGAAAATATCACGGTTCTCTGTCGGAGTGTCAAAGATCAAACACCGGTACTTAAGAATGTTGAGGTGAAATGAAGAGTTTGGGACTTTGGGTTACATAGATAGGATGTATAAAATTATAATATTTCAATTATATTTTTCTTGCCAGGTTGCTGAGTACTTGTATGAAAAAAAAAAAAAAAAAAAAAAAAACAGTTATGAGTGAAGGGAGCTTGGTTAATGTTGTAGTTATTGTCAGCAAATTTATATTTCTTTGGTTTGTCATTTTGTGATTGACTTCTTATTGATCTCTTTGGCACTAAGCCTTGAGGTCTTATTGATCTCTTTGGCACTAAGCCTTGAGGAAACTTAGTTTGAAATGGTGCAGGGTTATTATATCTATTTTTTTTGTATCAATTGTGAGATCAAGATTCAATAATTAAGCCTTCTTGCTTATATTCTAAAATATGTAGATTTTGGTATTTGCTGTTGAATATGCTTATTCACCTTTTTGCAATTTTAAAATAGAATTTGACTTGTTGGTAATGTAATAATATCTTTAACTTTTGCATGTAGATAAATGAACTGGATGCAGCACTTCAATTTCCAAAAGTTCTTGATGATCAGAAAGTTCCTACGCTTGAAGATGCTTTAAGGGTATATCAAATCTCGTTACTTGTACTGCTTTCATGCTATTTAGCAATTATTGGATTTTTTGTAGCTTATATCTTTGTTTATGAACTTTTGTTACTCTTGTACACATCACATTATTTGTTAATACTGTTTGTGAGAAATTATTTCCAGATTATAATGCAATTATTTTTGGCTGACTCCTGGTTGCTGTTCTTATCAGTTGGTGTCAGGTTCAGTACGGCAAGTCATCCTTGATGCAAAAGTTGGGCCTCCATTATATGAAAAAGGTCTTGTCGAGAAAATTTTAGCTGTTGTAAGTTTGATGTTTCTATTGAAGTATGCTTTGTCCTATCTTGAGTGTAATCCTTTCTTTCTTTCTTTCAACTGAACATCTATGTTATTGGCTTATTGCAGTATGAATTTCTGGAAAATGTGAATTT